TAAAAATGTTAAAAAAAGAACTTCAAAATAACAACACTGCAAATTATATATGAAGGCAAATGGAATCTTGAGCAAGTACTACCTGCTCAAGATTTTCCAATTTCTACTTCCTTAAGTGAAAGTAAGCAATTTGTACTAAAACTTAGGTATTGAAATATACTAAAGGTGGCACTGTTGCCTCATGTTAACCAGATGCCAAACTTTCTAAAATTTTATAATAGAAATATTCTAGGTTGTACATGGCCATGTTTCAAGCCTTACATTTTGTCATATGTTATAAAGATATAATTTTTTGGAGAAAAATTAAATTATATATTTTATTTCTCATAGAAATTAAATGTTGAGTTTAAATCAGAAAATAGGGCAACATTTCTATTTAATTTACATAAAATTTTAAATTAGTCTGGTGTATTCATAAAAAACACATGATTTTTTTTGATGTAAAGTATTTATAATTGAAAAGTAAGCTAAGGTGATAATTTGAGGACATTTATAACTTAATTTTTCTAAAATATATCACACTTCTAAGGTTAAAGTTTATAAGTTGTAAATATATTTGACAAAAGTGGTCATATTGATATGTTTTAATTTGAACAAATTGGCTACCTAAAAAAACACATTTATAAACATGAAATTAGAGAATTCAAAAGCCACTTAACTTTCAAAAAGATTGGCCAACATATTCTTTCAAATGGAAAATTTTCCTAGTGCACTTAAAATACAATTCAATCCTGAATTTCTTTGCTACTTTAAGCAAAAAATTATATTAAGTGATGCAAGGTATCATTTATTTTTCAGCAGCTGCTCATTCACACATAAAATTGTCAAATGTAATGTCAAAAAAGAAGACATATAATTATTCCTAAAGACTTAATTTTCTATTTGGAATACACAATAATGATAAAACCATTTTTTCAAGTATTAATAGGTTCTAGGAACTTTATATATATATTATTTTGAAACTTTACAACAACTTTGAAAGAGAGGCATTGTTATATAATACAGGAGTTATTCTAATTTTGCAGATAATAACCCAGTTTCAGGTAGTTGAATATACAGTAGTTTAGCCACTAGGCTATATTTCTCCATTTAATGTTAACTTCCTGTTAAAAACTGAATTCATATTATCAATTTTGTACCCAAACCAGGATCTACATTTTACATTATTCCAGATCTACATTTTAAATTACGCTACTGTGTTCAGGTATTGAAATTCCACCTGTGTTAGACAATTTGAACTTGAGAAACAAACAAGCTGTACATTACATCCTCAGGACCTATTTATCTTATGACTGGAATTTTGTACCTGTTGAGGACATTTGCCCTTTTTCTATACTCCCTGGCCACCTCTCTGGCAACC